GCCAATCACAGTGGTCCCATTTTCCTTGCTGGACATGAATTGGACATGGGTGCATGAATCAATTCTACACACAGGAGATATGTTGAGTCACCTTTATTTATTTATTTTTTTTGAGACAGAGCCTCAAGCTGTCGCCCTGGGTGGAGTACCATGGCATCATAGGTCACAGCAACCTCCAACTCCTGGGCTCAAGTGACTCTCCAGCCTCTGCCTCCCAAGTAGCTAGGACTACAGGCGTCTGCCACAATGCTCGGCTATTTTTTGGTTGCAGCTGTCATTGTTGTTTGGTGGCCAGGGCTGGATTTGAAACTGCCAGCTCATGTGTATGTGGCTGGCGCCTTAGCCACTTGAGCCAAAAGTGCCAAGTCTTGAGTCACCTCTGATTCAAAGGAAATTTGAGTTTTCCTTTGTTAAATTAAAATTTGGCCTGAGGAGGCCTCAACACAATCTCACCCTTAGTACTAAAGCAATTGAAAGCCAAAGTAGGCGAACACTTTTGTAATAAACAGCTGAATCTCAACTGTTTGAGAATGACAGCAGCCAAGTACCAGTCATTTGCAGGTAACCAACTGTCCAAACTATGTTCAAAGCAAAGCAAAGGCAGAGCTATAACCAATCAGCTGTCTCTGTACCCCATTTCCATTTTCTGTCCATAAATGCTTTCAGATCATGGTTGCAGCCCTGGAGCTCTCTGAACCTATCCTGGTTGTCTGGGATGCAATATTCTAGAACCACAAATGAAAGCCAATTAAGACCTGCAAAACTCAGCTGTGCTCAGTGGCTCATGCCTGCAATCCTAGCACTCTGGGAGGCCAAGGATGGTGAATTGGTGAATTGCCTAAGCTCATGAGTTTGAGATCAGTCTGACCAAGAGCAAGACTCAGTCTCTATGGGCATTGTGATGGTCACCTGTGGTTCCAGCTACTCAGGAGACTGAGGCAAGAGGATCACTTGAGCCCAAGAGCCAAGAGTTTGAGATTGCTGTGAGCTGTGACACCATAGCACTCTACCGAGGGTGACTAAGTGAGGCTCTGTCTCAAAGAAATAATTAAAAAAAATATAAATAGCCAGGAATTGTGGGTGCCTGTAGTCCCAGCTATTTGAAGGCTAAGGCAAGAGAATCACTTGAGCCCAGGAGTTTGAGGTTGCTTTGAGCTATGATGTCACAGCCCTCTACCAAGGGTGACAAAGTGAGACTCTGTCTCAAAAAAAAAAAAAAAAAAAGGAAAAAAAGAAAAAAACCCTGCAAAACTAGGTTTGCTGTATTTTGTCTAACACCTGGTTCTTTTTTTTTTTTTTTTTTTTTTTTGAGACAGAGCCTCAAGCTGTCCCCCTGGGCAGAGTGCCGTGGCATTACAGCTCACAGCAACCTCCAACTCCTGGGCTCAAGCGAGTCTCCTGCCTCCGCCTCCCAAGTAGCTGGGACCACAGGCGCCCACCACAACGCCCGGCTATTTTTTGGTTGCAGCCGTCATTGTTGTTTGGCGGGTCCGGGCTGGGGATTTGAACCCGCCACCTTAGGTGTACGTGGCTGGCGCCTTAGCCGGTTGAGCTATAGGCACCGAGCCTAACACCTGGTTCTTAAAAGGACATAAGAGGAAGTGACTCCTTTCTTGCCTATATTGTCACGTCTGGAATAATGTTCAGAATAGCTGCAGCCAGGCTTTGACAAGGACAATGAAATTGAAGGCAAAACCAACACAAAAGGAGAACAGAGCTGAAAGATGTAAAGGACCTATGCCAACTGACCACGAGTCAGTCTTAATGTTATCAGAGATAGAAAGTTCTTTATTGTTTACTCCTATCTAAGCCAGGTTTAGTTATTTGCAGCCTCAGTGGTACATTAACCTTTAGCCTGAGGGTCTTTGGGAGTTCAAATGCCTGACTTAGGGCTATCAAGTGCTAGCACACAGCAAGGCGTAGTAAGGACTTGACATCAATTTTGTCAAAGGGAGGACATACAATAATAGTCTGGCTGTAGAAAGACGTGTAAAGGCTCTCTCTGGGCACGTGATGATTAGATTAAGAGGAACAGACATTCCTGCATTCTCCTTTGCTATCTTTAAAATGCATTGAAGCCACTCATACATTTCTCTAAGGATTAGAGAGTGCTCTGAGGTCTCAAACCTCCAGAGAGGCAGTTGAAAGCTCCCTTAGTCAAAAGAAGGCTGAGCTAGAGCCACTCCTTCATTTTTAAAATTTTAAATATATATATTTTAAATCATTCATATATGTTGAATAATTACCAAGTTCTCAGATCATGGAGAGAAAAACTGACAAAAGTGTAGGAACCCACGGGCAGATACATGAACATAAAAAGTACAGGAAAGTTAATATCAACATGCTGTGGCCATTGGAAGACAATGGGAGTTCCAGAAAAGGCAAGGCGTAAAGAAGGGAAGTTGTCAGGGTGGGGGAACCAGACATGGTGAGGGGTGGTCAGAGGTAGACACACAAGCAAAGAGCAGAAGGCACTTGGGCTGAGCCCAAGTGGTGTGGCCAGAACCGAGTGCAGAGCCAGCACACAGGCAAGACAAAGCCCTGCTCTAGAAGCAAGGGCCCAAGGATGAAGCAGGCTGTGGGGAGCAAGGCCTGCAGGAACATCATCATGGTGTGTGGAGAAGCGGTGAATGGAGTACCTTCCCATGTGGGGCCGGAGAGCCACCTGGGTAAGGGTTCTGGTTATCTTTAATGGGTGTCGGTGCCTCAGCAGGGTAGAACTGTGGGTAGATGGTCTATAGATCAGAAGTCCAGGGTTCCAGGCCCCCTTCTGGCCACTGGGGCTGTCACTTTTCATTGATACCAAGGTTCCTTCTCAATAGGATGGGGCTGGGTAAGGTGGCTCAGACCTGTAATCCCAGCATTTGAGAAGGTCAAGGCGGGAGGATTGCTTGAGGCCAGGAGTTCGAGACCAGCTTGAGCAACACACTAAGAATGCACTCCAGCCTGGGTGACAGAGACACTGTCTATAAAAGCAAAAGACTCTCTGGGCTCAGTGAGTAATCCTAGCACTCTGGAAGGCTAAGACAGGTGGACTGCTTGAGCTCAGGAGTTGGGAGACTAGCCAGAGTGAGACCCTGTCTCTACTAAAAATAGAAAAACTAGCTGGGCATTGTGAGTGCCTGTAGTCCCAGCTACTGGGGAGGCTGAGGCAAAAGAATCGCTTGAGTCCAAGAGTCTATGGTTGCTGTGAGCTGTGATGATGCCCATGGCCCTCTACCCAGTGTAACAGACTAAGACTGTCTCCAAAAAAAAAAAAAAAAATTACAGGGTGGCACCTGTGGCTCAATGGGAAGGACGCCAACCCCATATACCAAGGGTAGTGGGTTCAAACCTGGCCCCAGCCAAACTCCAACAACAACAAAAAAGCCCGGCGTTGTGGCAGGTGCCTGTGGTCCCAGCTACTATGGAGGCTGAGGCAAGACAATCACCTAAGTCCAGGAGTTGTAGGTTGCTGTGAGCTGTGTGATGCCACAGCACTCTACTGGGGGCAACAAAGAGAGACTCTGTCTCTACAAAAAAAAAAAAAAAACCTCGGGCAGTGCCTGTGGCTCAAAGGGCTAAGGCGCCGGTCCCATATGCCAGAGGTGGCAGGTTCAAACCCAGCCCCGGCCAAAAACTGCAAAAACAAACAAACCTACCTACCTCAATAAATAAATAAATAAATAAATAAGAGCAAAAGACAGAAGGGCCAGATCATCTTTACAGGCCTCCCAAGCTGCAGTCCTAGGATCCTCAGTGAGGCACAGAGCACCTGGAATCATCACACTGAGAAACAGGGCAGAGGGCCGAGGGCAGACAAGGCAACCAAGCTCCACCTTGAACGTCAGCTTTAACTGACTGTTAGTGGATACCTGGAGTGCTGAACGGAGAAAAACTGCAAAAACACTCCCAAACTCCACAGAAAAGGATGCCTGTCGTTGATTGGTGAGGTCTGCTGTGGATTCAGAATGCCAAAATGGTACCAGGCGTAGAAAGCATTTGCGGTTCCCAGCTTAATGTATTGCTTCTTACTACGGTGGCAGGAATGTGCCAACTATCCATGGTACAAACATGTTAAAGATTAATTTCTCCTGGGGTCTTTTGTGAAAGAAGTGTGAGGGTCCCCCCAGCCTTGGGCTAACCACCCTGTTCTCACTCAGTCCAACACCCTTGAGCTGGCTTGCCACTTACTCCCAATCTCCCACACTTCTTGCTCCTATCCCTGCAGTGTCGGACACCTCTAAATGTCCTATCTTCTACAGGTAACCAACTCTCCTTTCCTAAAGCCAAAACACAACTAACTAATTAATTACATAACAGGCTCTCTAAGAAAGGAGACTTCCCTTTAAAACACGTGGCCAGTAAACAATCCTGATTTCTCTACTTTGCCTTGCATTTCTCATTCCCTGGCATCATCCTCCCCTCTCAGCCAGGGTCACGGGTCATGGTGCTGGGAACGCACAGGAGAGTTATTTCCTACACGAGGGTACGAGGCTCTGGTACAGCTGGCAGGAAGAGAGGTGTAATTATATTGCATCTCGGAGCCACCAGTAGTGAAGTTTTGCATAAAGGACTAGATTAGCCATGTATTATTTACGTCGGCATCCATTTTCCCAGCTGGCTCTATTTACTGTGCAAATTCTCCTCTCTTTATGGACAAGACCATGGTTCACCACCTCTGGTTACTCTATACTGTGGAGACGGCCCGCAGGGCACCATGCATATTAAACAAGTGGCTGGATTCACCAGGAGCAGGTCATATCCTCCCTTCCTGTTAAATTATATCCCTGAGACTGCAGCAAGCTCACATTCTCACCGAGTCACGGGGATGTATGCAGGTGTGCGAAACCAAATCAGCAAAAGCAGGAATAACTTCATGGGGGCCTTGTGGGGAAAACTGAAAAATCACCTTTTGGAAGAAATCAGGTGGCTCTGGGGCTCAGGGTATTTCCTTTTGATATTTTTAAGAGCAGGACATAGAGGGAGAAGTTTTGCATTTATAAGGTTACTTATTTTATTTTTTTGCAGTTTTTGGCCGGGGCTGGGTTTGAACCCCCCACCTCTGGCATATGGTGCCTTATCCTCTTGAGCCACAGGCGCCGCCCATTTATAAGGTTATTTTCACTCTAACTCAGAGACAGAGCTAAGGGGAAAGTGGCCCCCTATCTTTATAAATAGAAAAGCAGAGGCAAAAAAAAAAAAAAAATAGAGAGAGAAGCAAAGGCAAATTAGAGTCTTCCCGGCTAGGTCTCTGTGCTAGGATGGACCACAGGACGAAATAGTGACACACAGGGTTATCCTCCCAGTCACTACCACGTTTCTTCAGAGATGTCCTAAGCCAGGGTGAACTTGGCTCCCACCGGAAACATACACGGCAGAAACCAGGAAAGGAAACTAGACGCCAGCATGAATTTCCGGACCTCTGGCTGCAGTGTCCTCTCTTGCCTGTAGCTTGAAATGTGTCTGCAGAGAGTGAAGCTGAGGAGACCGAGACGTCTCTTCGGGCCAGCTTGAGAACTTCTGCATTCCCAAGTGCTGGGTGGCAGTAAACAGCAGGCATTACTGGGAAGGGAAGTTGACAGGGCACTTGAAGCCTCCTTGTTGCCCAACAGCACCAGTCACGTCTGATCTCCCTGTAATGCTGGGCTCGGCTCTGCAGTCCCCCAGGTCCCAATGTCTACCATCTCCTGGAAACCTGTTGGCTAGAAGAAGAAATTGGAAGGAAAGCTAAGTGGAGTTAAGCACTACAAGTGGGTAGCCCCTTTTATTGCAGGGTCCAGCATCTAAAAAATTCTTCTGTAAGACGCCTGTAGGCCAGGCGTGGTGATTCACACCTGTAACCCCAGCACTGTGGGAGGCCAAGGCAGGTGGATCCTTGAGCCCAGTAGTTTGAGATGAGCCTGAGTCAGAGCGAGACCCTGTCTTTATTATAAACAGAAACAATTGGCAGCGTACACCGAGGCTGGTAGGTTCGAGCCCAGCTCAGGCCAGCTAAAAAAATCAACAATGACAACTGCAACCAAAAAATAGCTGGGCGTTGTGGTGGGCACCTGTAGTCCCAGCTACTTGGGAAGCTGAGGCAAGAGAATCACTTTAGCCCAAGAGTTTGAGGTTGCCATGAGCTGAGACACCACAGCACTCTACTGAGGGCAACATAGTGAGACTCTGTCTCAAATAAATAAATAAATAAATAAAAATAGAAAAATTAGCTAGGTGTTGTGGCAGGTGCCTGTAGTCTCAGCTACTCAGGAGGCTGAGTCAGGAGTATTGATTGAGCCCAGAAGTTTGAGGTTGCTGTGCACTAACTATGATGCCATGGCACTCTACCCAGGGCAACAGAGATTCTGTCATGGAAAAAAAAAATACACACACACACATATATATAAAGATACCTGTGGGCACAGAAACCACCCCCAGGGCCTAAGATTCCTGGCACCCTCCTGAGGCAGGTCACCTGGCGGGGAGATTTGGTCAGACACACTGTACGCTGCCTTCCCGATGCTTCTGCTCCCTCGATGATGTCCAGGAAAAGCCGGGTGCTTGGCACAAAGCTCCAAGAGCGCCCAAGGGCAGGTTTGAGCCTCCCACTGTCCCTGTCTCGTGTCATATGGTTGGTCACCTGCAGTAAAAAGACTTACAGATCCATGGTGCTAGTACAGAGGACATCTGTTTCTACTGCTTCATTTTACGGATAGGAAAACTGAGGCCTAGAAGACAGAAATGACCTCCCGAAGGCTCCATAACTTAATGGCAGATCTTGAACTAGAACCTGTGGCTCCTGACTTGCACCCAGCTCTTTCCACTAATCCTCAGTGCCTTAGGCTAGATCCCAAACAGAAGGCAATGGGGCAGATGTCTGGGGGAAAAAGCAGTGATAACTTGCACTTTTCAAAAGGAAAGTCAGGCCACGTGTGGCAGCTCATGTCTGTAATCCTAGTGCTCTGGGAGGCTGAGCCGGGCAGATTGCTTGAGCTCAGGAGTTTGAGACCAGCCTGAGAAAGACTGGGACCCCCATTTCTACTAAAAATAAAAAAATTACCCAGGCCATGTGGTGGGCACCTCTAGTTCCAGCAACTTGGGAAGCTTAGGCAAAAGAAATGCTTGAGCTTAGGAGTTTGAGGTTGCAGTAAGCCATGATGGCACCACAGCATTCTACGCAGGATGACAGAGTGAGACTCTGCCTCAAAAATAAATAAATAAGTAAATAAATAAAGGCTCCGCTCCTGTAGCTCAGTGGCTAGGGCAGCAGCCACATACTCCAGAGCTGGCAAGTTCAAACCCAGACGGGACCTGCCAAACAATGACAACTACAACCAAAAAAATAGCTGGGCGCTGCGGTGGGCACCTATAGTCCCAGCTACTTGGGAGGCTGAGGCAAGAGAATTGCTTAAGCCCAAGAGTTTGAGGTTGCTGTGAGTTGTGATGCCACAGCGCTCTACCAAGGGTGACATAGTGAGACTCTGTCTCAGAAAATAAATAAATAAATAAAAGGAAAGCCAAGGGTGGGCCACATCTACCCAGCCCTTTGTGTCTGGGAGTGTCTGTGTATAAGGGTTGAGGAGAATTTTAGGGGAGGAGGTCCTTAATCTGAAGGGTCAGCTCTACTTTACCCAGGCTAGTCACAGATGTAAGCAACTTAAGTCTCACAGCATCTTCCAGAGTGGACCCCTCAAGGGCAGGGGCTGTGGCTTGTTCATCATCATCACTGCCTAAGCCCAAACCTGGCACATAGCAGGTGATTGAATACCTACAGACCAGGACAGGAGGCCCTGGGACCTCGTATTAGGACAAAAAAATAGAGAAACAGATCTTAACACTGCCAGAGGGCACACAAATTAGTATAACCTTCCTGAAAATTCAGCACTTTCCCACCTAAAAAATACACATATACCTTAGCAATTAAATATTTAGGAATTTGAGGAAATGAGATGTGAAAAGAGATTTAGATGTAAGAATGCTCACTGAAGTTTTATTAATAGAGGAAAACCAGTAATGACCTACAGTTCCAACAATCAGAAACTAGACAGATTATGGAATAGCAGGGCTGGTAAACTGCAGCCCACAGGCCAAATTTGGCTTGCACATTTGTTTTTTGCAAATCAAGTTTTGCTGGAACACAGCCATGCCCACTTGTTTATGTACTGTCCATGGCTGCTTTCATGCTATATTGGCAGAGCTGAGCAGTGGTGACACAGACCATATGGTCGCAAGGCTTGAAGTATTTACTATCTGATCCTTTACAGGGAAAGTCTGCTGATCCCTGTGGATGTCTGTGGTATAGGTGTAAATAAAATAATATGCAGCTACAGAGCCGTTGTGGAAAGCAGTGTGGTGATTCCTCAAAAAATTAAAGGTAAAATTACTGTATGATCGCTAGGAGTGGTGGCTCACACCTATAAACCTAGTACTCTAAGAGGCTGAGGCAAGTCAATTACTTACGCTCACAAGTTCCAGACCAGCCTGAGCGAGAGTGAGACCCTGTTCCTAACTAAAAATGAAAAACTGAGGTAAGAGGATTGCTTGCCAAGAGTTCGAAGTTGCTGTGATGCCATGGCACTCTACCCAGGGCAACAGAGTGAAACTATGTCTGGAAAAAAAAGAAAAAAATTACCGGCTCAGCGCCTGTAGCTCAGGGGCTAGGGCGCCAGCCACATACACCAGAGCTGGTTGGTTTGAATCCAGCCCAGGCCTGCCAAACAACAATGACAACTACAACCAAAAAATAGCTGGGCATTGCGGCAGGCGCCTATAGTCCCAGTTATTTGGGAGGCTGAGGCAGGAGAACTGCCTGAGCCCAGGAGTTTGAGGCTGCTGTGAGCTGTGACACTATGGCACTCTATTGAAGATGACATAGTGAGATTCTGTCTCAAAAAAAGAAAAAGGTTAAAATAGCAAATTTTACATGTCCAAAGAAACTGGACAAAGGTATGTAGCTGCTAAAAATAAAATTTTAAAAAATGTAATTATTATAGGTATGTAATAGTTGTATATCTTTATAGAATCCATGTGATGTTTTGATATAGGCATACAATGTGAATTAAATCTTCTTTGTGTTAAGAGCATTCCAATTTTTGGTGGCGCCTGTGGCTCAGTGGGCAGGGCACCAGCCCCATATAACAAAGGGTGATGGGTTCAAACCTAGCCCGGGCCAAACTGTAACAAAAAATAGCCGGGCACTGTGGTGGGTGCCTGTAGTCCCAACTACTCAGGAGGCTGAGGCAAGAGAATTGCCTGAGCCCAGGAGTGGGAGGTTGCTGTGAGCTGTGATGCCACTGCACTCTACAGAGGGCAATAGAGTGAGACTCTGTCTCTACAAAAAAAAAAATTCTTGGGAGGTGCCTGTGGCTCAAAGGAGCAGGGCGATGACCCCATATGCTAGAGGGGGTGGGTTCAAATCTAGCCTTGGCCTAAAACTGCAAAAAAAAAAAAAATTCCAACTTCACTCTTTTATTTTGGCCAGGGCCAGGTTTGAACGTGCCACCTCTAGTATATGGGGCCGGTGCCCTACTCCTTTGAGCCACAGGCACTGCCCCAATTTCACTCTTTTAAAGTATGTCCCTAACTTGTTGTTTACATTTACTTTATTGTGCTGTCAATTGTTCATTCTATGTAACTATAGTTTTACACCCATTAGCGATACCCACTTAATCCGCCCCACCACCACCATTCCCAGCCTCTGGTAACTGTCATTCTACTCAGTCTCCATGAGATCTTTTTTTTTTGCAGTTTTTGGCTGGGGCTGAGTTTGAACCCGCCACCTCCGGCATATGGAGCCAGCACCCTACCCCTTTGAAGAGATTAATTGTTTTTAATATTTAGCTCCCATATGAGTAAGAACATGCAAGATTTATCTCTTTGGGCTTGGCTTATTTCACTTAACATGTTCTCCAGTTCCATCCATGTTGTTGCAAATGGTAGGATTTCATTCCTTTTTGTGGTTACATAGTATTCCGTATATGTACCACGTGGTATATGTACCACAATTTCTTTATCCATTCATCTGTTCATGGATAGTTAGGTTGATTTCATATCCTGATTATTGTGAACAGTGCTGCAGTAAACATGGGAGTGCAGCTATCTTTTCAATATATTGAATCCCTCTCCTTTGGATATATACCCAGTGTGAGATTGCTGGATCATATGGTATTTCTCTTTTTAGTTTTTGGGGGAACCTCCATACAGATTTCCATAGTGATTGCACTAATTTACATTCCCACCAACAGTGTATGAGGATTTTCCTTTCTCTACATCCTCACCAGCATTCATTATTGCCCTTTTCTTTTCTTTGAAACAGAGTCTCACTTTCTCACCCTTGGTACAGTGCCATGGCATCATAGCTCTCAGCGACTTCAAATTCTTGGGTCAAGCAATTCTCTTGTCTCAGCCTCCCAAGTAGCTGGGACTACAGGTGCCCACCACAATGCTTGGCTAGTTTTTCTATTTTTGGTAGAGCCGGGGTCTCAGTCTTGCTCAGGCTGGTCTTGAACTCCTGAGCTTGGGCTATCCACTTGCCTCATCTATAGTGCTAGCATTATAGATGTGAGCCACTGAGCCTGGCCTGAGTTACTGAAGTTCCTTATAATACGTATGTGTGTAGTCTAGTTATTACTCCTTCATGAGATGGGTAGTTTGCAAACATTTTCTCCCATTCTATGGGTTGTCTCTTCACTTTGTTCACTATTTCCTTTACAGTGCAGAAGCTTCTTAGCTTGATATGATCCCATTTTCCAATTTTGCTTTGGTTGCTTATGCTTTGGGGATATTACTCAAGATTCATTCCCTAGACTCAGTCCTGAAGCTTTTCTCCAGTGTTTTCTTTTAATAGTCTCATACTTTCAAGTCTTGGATTTAAGTCTTTAATCCATTTTGATTTGATACTTGTACATGGTGAGAGATAAGGGTCTAGGGTCTAGTTTCAGTCTTCTGCATATGAACATCCAGTTTTCCCAGTACCATTTACTAAAGAGACTATTCTTTTTTTTTTTTTTTTTTGAGACAGAGCCTCAAGCTGTCCCCCTGGGTAGAGTGCCATGGCATCACAGCTCACAGCAATCTCCAACTCCTGGGCTCAAGCAAGTCTCCTGCCTCCGCTTCCCAAGTAGCTGGGACCACAGGCACCCGCCACAACGCCCGGCTATTTTTTGGTTGCAGCCGTCATTGTTGTTTGGCGGGTCCAGGCTGGGGATTCGAACCCGCCACCTTAGGTGTACGTGGCTGGCACCTTAGCCGGTTGAGCTATAGGCGCCGAGCCTAAAGAGACTATTCTTACCCACTATATGTTGTTGGCCAAAAATGAAATCCTTAAACATTCTAGTTAAAAACATGAGAAATGGACTGAGATATCAAGTTTCTTTCTTTCTTTCTTTTTTTTTTTTTTGAGAAAAGTCTCAAGCTGTCACCCACCACAATGCCCAGTTATTTTTTTTGTTGTAGTTGTCATTGTTGTTTTTAGCTGGCCCAGGCCAGGTTCGAATCTGCCAGCTTCGGTGTATGTGGCTGGCGCTGCAACCACTGTGCTACAGGCACCGAGCCTATTTTGTTTGTTTTTAACAAGGTCAGTTTAGTTAGAAAGTTGGTAAATAGCTGGGTGCAGTGGCTCATGCCTGTAATCCCAGCACTTAAGAGGCCAAGGAGGGTAGATTGCCTGAGCTCACAGGTTTGAGACTAGCCTGAGCCAGAGTGAGACCTCATCTCTGAAAAATAGCTGGACACTGTAATGGGCACCTGTAAGTCCCAGCAACTAGCAAGGCTGAGGCAAGAGGATCGCTTGACCCAAGAGTCTGAGGTTGCTATGACCTAAGACAACACAGCACTCTACCAAGGGTGACCAAGTGAGACTCCATCTCAAAAAAGAAAAATAAAAAAGAAAATTGGCAGATAGTATAAGTATATGGTCAGGAAAAAAGTTTATGAAGATACATCTAAATATTAATACAGTTTCTGTGGATGTGGGGATTGACTATGACTTTTAATCTTATATTTAACTATTTCTTACCCTTTCTATGAGAAGCATGCAGACTTTTAAAGTACTTCTTCACAAGCAGAAAAATTTACTTTAATAGCAAAAGATCCATTTATATGGAATTCTGGAAAACTATTGCAATAGAAAACCTATCAGTTTGGGGATGATGCCTGTGGCTCAAAGGAGTAGGGTGCCGGCCCCATATGCTGGAGGTGGCGGGTTCAAACCCAGCCCTGGCCAAAAAAAACTGCAAAAAATAAAACCTATCAGTGGTTACCTAGGGCTGGGGGACCTTTTAGTGGGGTAACAATACTGTATACAACTGTATCCATTAGTCAAACTTTAAACAAGGAGAAAGTTACTCTAAGTAAGTTATACTTTAATAAACCCGACTTTAAAAAAGTAGAAAAAAAAATAAGACCGTTCCTGATCCCCTTGGCTATTTATGGTTCAGAGCTCTAGCTGATCCAGGGAAGGTGAGCTATGTTCTATGTTCCTTTCCTAAAGGGCCATTTTGGAGTTCAGAAGCTGCCAGTTAGGGGAAATAAAGAGCCACCTCTAACTAGAAACCAAGTTTGCTGGCCAAGCCTGCTTCCTTACCACCACTGCTGTGCCCAGGTCCCGGGCCAGGGTCTTCAGCTCTCGGGCCAGCTGCATCATCAAGGCCAAGCCTGGAGGCAGAAGAGAGACAGAGAGGCAATGGGGGGCCTGGGATGAGACTGGCTGGAGGCCAGATCCCAGAGCTGGGAGGCAAGGGTCATACTCTCCTGAGCCCAGGCTCTGCCATACCACTCACCTTCCCTCTGCTGACCTCCCAGGAGTGGGGAGACCACTGCAGTGACTGAGTCCACAACTACCACCTTCACAGTCCCTGAAGAACTGGTCACCTGGAGGGGTGGGGGAAGCAGGTCCTATGAACCAGCTGGCCTCCAGGGCACACCCATTATAGCACAAGCTAGCTCCTCTATCAGAAACCAAACCAGTAAGAAATAACTTCCTCTGTCCCAAACACAGCTGCATGGGCCTCACCAGATGTGATCATCGCACTGTATCTCCCTGTCCCCTTTGTACGTATAAGAGACTTACTGAAGACTTGAGTAGAAAGAGATGATTTAAATCACAGGCCATCGCAGATACACTAAAATAACCAAACTTTAGGACATCTGATTCAGAGTCCTGTGGCTGCAGTTGTGGACCTCTCAGTGGCTATTCTTGGTCCTACATCCAGCTTCCCACCATCAGCCTTTCTTTTCCTTCTCTGACTCCCTCCCCTCTTCTCCTTCCTGCTAACTTCTACTCCCAAATTCCTTATTTCCTTTGCTGAAGAGTTTATCCTCTCTTTACTTCACTGCCTCCTTCTAGATCATGTATCCTGGGCCTCATCTTCCCTTTCTAAAATAGTTCCAAATAAAGACTGTTCTTTCTCTAAGAGTAAGTTTTGTTTTTGTTTTTTTTTTGAGACAGAGCCTCAAGCTATCCCCCTGGGCAGAGTACCATGGCCTCACAGCTCACAGCAACCTCCAACTCCTGGGCTCAAGCGAGTCTCCTGCCTCAGCCTCCCAAGTAGCTGGACTACAGGCGCCCGCCA